ACTAGTCTTACGTGCGTTGTATCACCCAAATCGATAGCTGCAAAAGAAGAAGCGAGCAGCACTCGGGATGTGAACAGTCACCCCATTAGCTAATTTTCTACATTTTGCTATTTTTTTACATTGCGTGAAAGCGGTACAAGGAAGTACGGTCTCACGGGTCAAGCGGTATGGCCACGGCTTTGGTATCCAACTTTAACCTCGCTCCTGTCTCCCAAAAACCCTGGTAAAAGGGACACTGCTGCTGTCCAAAGCCAGGGCACGCTGTCCAGGAAGCATAATGTTGAGGGAGTATTTTAAATATAAAATACAACGGACTAAGAGATGTCAAAGGAAAGTGTTAAATACCACAGATTCTTGTACCAATGTAACCAAAGTAGAGATTTACAAATCTTTAATTTGCTAAGCCTTCATTACGCACATGCAAATGAGGAAAAGGACTACTCAGACATTTCCCTCCTCTCCAAACCACATGCAAAGCCATCGCAATAGCTCAAAGTCCAGGAAAAACCCAACTGCTTTCCTTCCTCGTGCACGGAATGAATGTCACGCCATAGCTACTGCATTCACGTCTGATGATGTTCGGAGCGGCTCAGTGAGCTACTCTGCACCCAGAAAAGTCTATTCCTGACCTGATGACTGTAGCAAAAATTTACTCTGGTTTTTGTTTGCTAAAAAACTCACGGAATTTTGCCGATTGACAACAGCAGCATTCAAGCTGAAACAAAATTCTGTGTCTCGCTACAGTAAAACTACTTTAAAGAAGAAAAGAGGTCAGTGAAAATCTGTTCTCCCCAGTCACTGTACGTGCTTGTCTAACCACGGAGATTTCCTTTTCGCACAGTCGAACTGGAACGCTGATCAACGTTTGTGATACCCGTGCTCTCAAACACAGAAAGCAAGCACAGCGCAATACCAGTTTCCAGCTGTTCAGCTCAATACTTAGAAGCAGACAGCTACTTCGTACTGAGCTGCGCAAACATCGACGGTATTTTTCAACAAGGAGAAGGTTTAGCTCACCTCGGTTGTTGTACACGTGGCCAGACACACAGACTGTGGAACATCCACTTTGCTGTAGCTGGTTTAGTCTTTTCTCTACGATCTCTGTGATATCCACAAAATTTTCATCAAACCCAAGCCTTTCCACCAGCGGACAGAATTCCCCCAACAGCTCTAGGAGGCAAAAATACCCAAGGATAATACGCACCCAACGGAGCACGCGCGGTTTTCATGCCTGCATCAACCCACGGCTCATCTCCCACGGACTCGAGTAGGCTGCCTGCATGAAGAGAAACGCTGTTCTCTTCCAGACCAAAATAAGGCAAAGGTGAAGAGGAGGAGTATTTCTTCATCCCGCAACTACCTCTGTCACCTGCTTTCCTTCGCCCCAAATCTCTTTCTTCCCTCGTTTCTTTTTGAAATTGCAGTTGTTAACCTCTGCAGTGCTTTCTCCTACGGAAATCTGCTTCCCAGCTAGGTGGGCTCTCACTTCTAAGTTGTTACTATTTTGCCTGCTAACACTGCTCATGATGAAAGCAGTGATCAGTGACAATGCTGGCAGATCATTTAATTAAGAGATACTAGAGAAGTTCACCCACTCGAAGGCTTCAGCGTCCTGCCCTCCACTGCCTTCACGTTTGGAAATTCATTACCACAGTCGGTATTTAAAGAAGAAAAATTGTTCCTAAAGAACTACGTGGGCATAATCCTAACGTAGCGTACAGATCCCATAGAGCATCAGTCTGATACATTTGCAGTGCCTGGCCCAGACTGCAACCCAGTCTAGTAACAGCTTGTTCCGCAAAACAAGTTCGGAACTGGGGTTCTTTAGTCTGGAGCAGAGGAGGCTGAGGGGAGCCCTGATCGCCCTCTACAGCTGCCTGAGAGGAGGCTGTAGGGAGGGGGGGGTCGGCCTCTGCTCCCTGGTAACAGATGATAGGACAAGGGGGAATGGTTTGAAGTTGCGCCAGGGCAGGTTTAGGCTGGACATTAGGAAAAACTTCTTCACCAAAAGGGTTGTCAGGCTCTGGAAGGGGCTGCCCAGGGAGGTGGTCAAGTCCCCATCCCTGGAGGGATTTAAAAGAAGGAGAGATGAGGTGCTGAGGGCCAGGGTTTAGTGGTGGGATGGCAGGGTTAGGTTAAAGGTTGGACTCGATGATCTCAAAGGTCTTTTCCAACCAAAGTGATTCTGTGATTCTATTCTATGATTCTATGAAATACTGACGTCGTACGACTGTAAGTATTGCCGCCGCGGTATGAGGCGCATTCTTTTAGAACTTTTAGAGCAGCAAAATGTCATTTACTATTGCACACCTGTGTGCGCAGAGTTTAACAGAAAGTGTTTGTCCTCTACCGAAAAATGGTTGATTTGGTACCTGTAACCTTGTACGACATCTCCCTGTATGGCGTTAGATCTTCACCATTAACCAGCATCAGCTGCGGACACTTCTCTTTAGCGTCCTTGACGGACATCAGTTTCTTAACTCCAAGTTTTCTGGCTTCATAGTTACAGGTAACTACGATGGATTTCTGTTGCACACCTAAAAATAAATGTGGGGTTTTTTTTTCAGTTCAGGTTGCTTGGTACTTCACAGAAGATCACAGCACCTCCACGCCGCTGCAAGGACTATGAAGCCGTATGCTTTGATCAGAACGCAACACCACGGACCGAGGGAACGAGGAGCCTTATTTTACAAGACTACGAGGACGGATCTCTTGATGTGGATTACTGGACGGTAAGAACATTTTACAACCTTAAAGATATTTTTTTCCCCTTGTAATTTTGCCCTTCATTTTGAGCCTTTTCAGGCCACCGTGCCCGTGAAAACGCTCTTTAGGTAAAAGTTATTTTAAAATGTACTTTCCCTGCCGATCGTAGACGCTACTGGCTGCCTCTGGATGGAATAAAGCATGCTTTAAGCATGACTGTGCCCAAGGCTCACTGTGGAGCTCAGCCCTCTCTGTGCCCGTGTATGCTCTAAACCACCTTCAATCCCCGGAACTGCTCAGACACGTCGGTAAGTGCCCGCACTTGTGCTCAAGAGGATTTATTAATCTTGTAGTCGCAGCTACGCCGGAGTCTAGACTGCACCTTGCTCACTCTGGATGTGGTTACAGCTCCGGCGTGGCTGCCTGTATCTCACCGCACAGGCGCGCCCTTCGTTTATTCACGTCCTCGGCTGCTTCTGCCTTGAATACACATAATCCCCAAATTAACAGCAAAGTAGCTCGTACCTAAAGGCTTCTCTCTTAATTCAGGATTACGGATCATTTCTACTTGTGCGTAAAAGCAGTCCAGGTCAATGTGCACGATCACTCTGGGGGCTGCGCTTCTCGCCGGCACAGACTTGCTGTGGCCTGCTGCAAGGAATGTAAATGCAGACATTAAAAATTACAAGCCGCCTTACACGTGATGTAACAATTTTTTTTTTTTTTAAAAATTAATCCACACTAATAAATAGCTATTACGAGAGGAATATAAAATTTACAGGTTTTATACTAATTCTAGCGCTGCGTTAATTCTAGGATTCCTTAGGAGCCTAACCCATCCACAGCCACTCCGTTCACCCCTAACCGCTCCCGTTTTCCCAGGGTATTCAGTTCCCTCGGAACCATTTTGGAACACGGCTTTCCCGAGGGA